ACAAGTGAGGAAGCACTGGAAGGGTAGGAACATTGCCCAGTGTGGCTCAGAAGCCTCTCTTTCTGGCTTCCTGGGAGGTTTGGGGCATGTTCCTCTAGCATCCTGTTTCTCTGCCCTGCATCAGATGCCTGTTGATAGGAAAGCACCCTGAGTGTGATGCTTTACCAACCTGCACCCTTGTCTTCTGAGCAGTGGGCATCTGAGTGAAAGATACTAAAAGCAGGTGTTTGTGGGTCAGAGAAAATTTTGAGGGAAAAGTGTAATGGAAAAGTAAAGTGAGAGATCACTGAAACATTTCTGCCAGGCCAAACCCTTAAAATTTTTTATTGAAGCTTTCAAACATACTGAAAAAGAGAAGTAAAATTAAACGAACACCTGTGTTTCCAGCACCTTGTTAAAAAATCACATGGCCATGTTGCCTTACTGCCTTCAGACTTTTTAAATAATAGAGTGTTATCAAATATCATTAGTATAACCCTCTTCGATCCACTGCTCTTTTCTCTCCAGAGGTATCCACTGTCTCAAAATTGAGATTCTCTCTTCCTACACAAGTTTTTATTCTGTCAGTGGAGGGTGGGGGAAGGGGAAGGTGGAGCATATTCTAGTTTGTTTACACGTAGCTGTATAGGTTTAAAGTGTACAGCATATATTTTTAAAAAATATTTATTTATTTATACATACAAGAACTGGGGCACAGGCCAGAGATTCGGGGGGGTGAGAGGATCCACCAGAGACAGAGTGGGGAGCAGAACAGGCGGACTGACGAAATACACTGCTGAGGGGAGCAGCGGGCGAGACAGGAGAGGTCTGCTGCGCCATGTGGGTTTCTCCCTGGATGGCTGGGGATCGAACTCGTGCTGCAGAGGCTGTGGACTGGTTCATAGTGTGGTGCTTAACCTCTTGTGCAACCAGGGAGGCCCTAAAGTATACAACATATTGATCTGACTTACATATATTGTGAAGTGATTACCTGACTAAATTAATATCCATCATCACATATAGATACCACTATCCCACAAAAAAGAAAAAAAGCTCTTTCTCTTGTGTTGAGAACTCTAGGATTTGCTCTCTTGACAACTTTCAAATATGCCATACAACAGTTAGCTGTAGTATACATTTTTGTCTCCAACAACAAGTAGCATTTTTTTGCCTGCGTAACTTCAGATAGGTGGTGCAACACTCTCCGTGTTCTCCTATAACTTGCTTTCCTCACTCAATCTTGTATTTGTCAGATTTATCCACGTCAACTCTAGCTCGCTCATTTTTTTCACTCTGTACAATAGGGGATGGGGAGCAAATTGGTCCCGGGGCCAAAATTTGTCCATTACTTGTTTGCGTCAATAAAGTTTTATTGACGTATGCCCTTCATTTATGAAATTTATATGGCTGCTTTTCATGATAGTGGCAAAGTCAAGTGATTAAAGCAGAGGCAATAACTGAATGGTTAGCAAAGCCTGAAACAGTTATTCCCTGACTCTTTACAAAAAAATGTTAGCCAACCCTTGTGGTAGAATTCTGTTGTAATAATATAGCACATTGCATCTATTCTCCTATGGGCAAATATTTGGGTCATTTCTAAATTTTTTACTTTATAAACTGTACTTGAGTAAACATTTGTGTTTATTTAGGCTTCACCCTGGAGTGCATAACTGGAGTGAAATTACTGGGCTATAATAATATCTCATAGAGATAGTGGTGTGCAAGGTGCATCTACCAATTCGCACCTCCAGTAGTCTGTGAGACATCCTTTCTTCCACATTGTACCCAACAACTGGTATTTTCAAACCTTACATAGATAACCTCACTTTTGGCAAATGTGATGCAACTGAAGTGGTCCTTCCCTCCTGGTGATGGTAAACATTTTTTTCAATTGTTAGTCACAGTGCTTACTGATTGCATCTTTTATCTGGTTTCCTGTTGAGTTGTTCATCTTTTTTCCTGCTGAGTTGTGAGAATTCTTTATATCTCTGGCTGCTAGTTCTTTTGCTTCTCTGCATTAATAAAACCAGTGTGACTTGGTTTTCAGTCATTCTGGATTCTTTACCAGAGCTGTGTCTTAAGGTCAATCTCAGTCAACTTTGAAGGTCTGTATCTGCACATGCACGTATTTGCACATGAATGCAGTGTGTGTATGTGTGTGTGTGTGTATGCACACGAGTGTGATATTTTCCTTGGAAAAATTTGTGAGGTTGAAAGGGTGTAAGTCTGAGGAAAACGTGAGTATCTGCTCTCCAGCTCAGCAAGGTTGGCTCAGCACACCCTCCCCACCAAGGTGTTCGCAGAATCTCACAACCACCCCATCTTGGAGCAGTTAGTGTATTTCTGAGGCTGTGTGTTTGAGCCAGCTGATTGTTGCTGATACTTCGACTTGTAGACATGACCCATAGGGTCCCAGGGAAGCTGTGGGCCACCATGGTGGGATGCTGAAGGGTTTGGAGGGCTGCCTTGACTTGCAAAGAAACAAGCACAATTTGTGGTCTCAGGTTCCCCTGGTTGGTTTTGGCTGCAGTCAGTCCTGGTTTCACTTGATCAGCCTGAGCCACTCCCTGGCCCATGGCCATTCAAATAATGGAAATTTCCATCTTTGATTTTATCCTAGCCCATCATCTTCTACATTGAGCACACTGGCTCCTTCTATTCCTCTACCTCTTCTGACCTTTCAAATCAGACTTTCTGAGCTGAACACTTAAACAAAAACTGCATGCAGTCTTTGGAGTTCAAGAGGCCTTGTGGAGTGTACAGCCCATGGGGGTCATCTGTGTATCTTAACAATGACTCACTGGCACGTACAGGGACGATATATTAGAGTTGCCATCTTGCCTTCGAGGACCTCCGGGAGGCACTGGTGCAGACTCACCTGATTCCGTAGCAACCTGTCATGCTGGACCTGGCTTCTGCTCTGGTGCCCTTCCACATGTGTAATGCAGGTGCAGGCTCAGTTCATTCCCCAGCATCCAGGGGGACCCCAATATTGCTCCCAGAAGGAGGGCCACCTTCTGGGAACAGAGGCAGACAAAACTAGGGGTGCACTTCTAACATTCCTGAACCTGTGCCATCATCTGACTCTGCTCTGTTGTTTCCTCACATGTCATCTCATTTGATGCTCAAAACAGTTCCTGCAGTAAGTGGCAGGCCACCTGCTGTATGGACCGGACTCAAGCCTGTGACCTATGTTATAGAGGGCTGTACTTAGTTAACAAGGGCACCATTCTTGGTTTTGTGCCCATACTTGCCTTCTTGGATTTTTTAATAATTTTTGAATAGTTGGCCTTGACACCCCAACTTTTCAGTTTGCCCAGGACCCCTGAAATTATGTAGCCTGTCCTGTTCACATATAAAGAAACCAAGGCTCATGAGGTGAAGTGATTTGCCCAGAATTACATGGGAGGTAGCTAGCTGCGCTGGGGTTGTGGTAATTTCCGCTTTGCTACTTCATTTGTTGAAATAGAGCCACAAGTGAGCCTCCTTTGAATTGTACCACCAGGACCAAGGGAAGCCAGGTAAGCTGCACTGTAGAGATACAAGTTTTCTATGGCGATTTGCTGTGTTGCTGAGTGGACCTCACACTGGCCAGTTGCTACCCTTTCCCTTGGGAGGGGAGGAGCCATATTTGTCAATGCTTTGAGGTTCCTGGAAGTACCTAAAACGGGGGTTCTCACAAGGAATCCGCTCAGGTCAACCAAGTGGGTTAATGGGTTGTTTTTTTTTTTAAGATTTTTTTATTCGTGCATATAAGAACTGTATACAGGCCAGAGTGTGTGTGTGGGGGGGGGGTGTCAGAGGATTCACCAGAGACAGAGTGAGGAACAGAATAGTCAGACTGACTGAAATACACTGCCAAGATGGGCAGCAGACGTTACAGGAGAGGTCTGCTGTGCCATGTGGGTAGCTCCCTGGCTAGGGATTGAACTTGTGCTGCAGTGGCTTTGGATAGCTTCACAGTGCTTGCTTAACCCCTTGGGCCACCAGGGAGGCCCCTAATGGCCTTTTTTGATTGCAAATAAGAAATTGAGGTGTTGAGCTTACCTTGGGGGAAGGACCTGACATAACCTTGGGCCACACTGTGCTCTCCTCACTCCCTTAAACAGAGGTTTATGGACTTCCCCCTCCCCCCAACTCAAAGCCACATCTTGTGACTTTGCTTTTCTTTAAGTGCCTCTTATGCTAATGCTACCAGCCATTCCTCTCTCACATTCCCTCTCCCCACCAGCAGATTTAGATTTGCCCCCAGGCCACTAGCCAGCCTATAAATTGAGCACTTGGGGTGATTCATTGTCCTCTGCTGTTGTCATGGTTACAGGACAACCAGCATGGTGACTCTTGGGATCAGGAGCTTCCAGTTAGGGCAGAAGAAGCCTAGTCCTGCCCAAGGTCATTGCTGGCCTGTCTCCCAGGGCAGGTTGGTGTTGTGCCCAGTGTCGACCAGTGCAGCCCCCAAGGACACACAGACAACCGCTGTAAGAACACAAAGGAGTTTATTATGGGCTCAAGACCAGGCCTTCGACACGCACCGATGTAACGGTGGAGGTCGGGAGCCCTGAACAAAGGGAACAGGGATCTTATATAGGGGTACAAGTAGATTTCTAAAAATTAAATCATGTTGGTAATCATTCAATAGTTACATAGGTACATCATTCATTGATTACACAGGTGCATTCATTAACAACGGTGGGTTCACAGTTATTTTATGGCTAGTTTGACCCCATTAGTGGCCTGCATTGCTCGGTCATCTGAGATAAGACCAGAGTGGGGTGGGGGTCATAAACCCTCTTTGGAATGCAGGCTATTTAGTCTTGAGTAAGCAAAACTTGAAATACTAAGATGGCGGTTATACACAAGATGGAGGAATAGTGACTAAGTCTCACAGTTGGAGTCCCTCCTGTCAGAGCATGACTTAAATGCCCTTGAAGCAGGATTTACTCCTGGCTGGAGATGGTTCTGGGGGTTCCCAGATGGACTTGCCAGTCTCCCTGGTGATCTAATCTGTTTTCCCTTCACAGCAGCAAACCCCTTGCTTTGTTCCACCGCCCGCTACCACTGCAAGAACGGCCTCTGCATTGACAAGAGCTTCATCTGCGATGGACAGAATAACTGTCAGGACAACAGCGACGAGGAAAGCTGTGAAAGTTCTCAAGGTAGGTGCCACTCAAGCTCCACAACATAATTGCCACACCACACCGCAGGAATGCTGAAGAAAGCTACACGTAGACCCACCTCCAACACAGCAGCTCTGGTTATTTTTGCATCAGGCCTGGCAACCAGTGAGCACATGGATTTAACTGTAACACACCTGCTGTTGTGTAGTTTGTATATCTTGTGTATGATGCATCACCTCTCCATTTTCTCTTCGAGGTTGTAATTTGCCCCAACTGCATTACATACTGTCAGCCAGGCTCTGCGGTGGCTCTCAATGGTTGCCTTGCTGGCGGCCATCTATTTCTATTGAGCTGCTTCTCCAGGACACCTTCCTCCGAGTGGAGTCTCTGCCTGGCTCGTGGCTGCCCCTCACCCTGCAGCTGTTCGGATTTGTTTTTTACTACACAGTCGCTGCTAGCCTGGTCTACACATGTCAATGTTACTGTTTTATTCCCAAGCACTCACTCCTCTATTTTTGCCATTTTTTCTAATTTCGCAGTCATAGAACAAGAGCTCCCCAACTGCTTTTATTTGCATTCCTCTGTTGATGAGCAAAGTTAACATTTTCCCCTTGTGTTTGTTTACTACTTTGTTTCCTCCTGTGTGAATTGCCTGCACAGAGCAGTGCTCTCCATATCAGCTCTTTCGTGGAAGCTGAGGGATGCATTTGGGGAAAGAAAAGATGAGCTTTTTTAGGGAACCCACAAGGACACCGGGGGGTTATATCCTCCCGTGTTAAACTGACAGGGAACGTTTCTTCACTCATTGACTCTTTTCCAGTAAAAATGTATTCCTTCAATGATGAGAAAAGACACAAAGATTTAAAAATGTATATCCATTTTAAGACGCCCTAAAATAGTATATGTTTATAATGTTATAAACGGCTATCATCTGTTGGTTATCTTCGCAATTTTCACATAGCATTTTATTGTTGTGATTCACCCATATTACTGTTTGTTGGTTGAGTTCATTTGTTTCAAATGGTATTCATTATTCTGCTGTGTGCCTATACCACAGTTTATAGATTTAATAAAACTGTATTAAAGAAAAGCAAGGTAGTGGCGATGGACTGGTTGACTCCTCTGTTGGGAGTGAAGAGGCATGAGATAAGCTCCATGAAGTTACATTCATTGTAGGTTGTTTTCAAGGCCCTCATTTTCCTCTTTTGTTTGGAGTTTATTATGTTATTAAAAATGAGTGAATGAGCAAGTGGGTCAGGCATAGACCACAAGGGAGAGTAGGTCAGCAATCAAGGATTATGATCGATCTAAATCTGCATGCCTGAGTTCCGTGGAATAGAAAAGAAGTGTGTCAGCATGGACTTGGCCAGAATTTGTGCAGAGAATAGCTCTGGGAGGTGAGTCCAGGGTGGAACTTGCCTCCTGCTGTCCTTGCCGGTAAAATCCCCTCCTTGGGTCTCCTCCTCAGTGGTGGTTCTCACAGTGTGATGTTCAGAACAGCAGCATCAGTACCATATGGGGGACACGTTGGAAATGCAGACCTCATGCTGCACCCCACACCAGCAGAATCAACTGGTGGGGTGGACCCAGTAACTTGTGTTTTATTTAATACGCCCTCTAGGCAATTCAAATGTCCATTAAAGTCTGGAAACCTCTATTGCGTACTAATTGGAGGGAGAATTGTAATCTTGTGCCTAGAATGTTCTGAGCTTCTGATTGAATAGCAAGGTATTTCTGGCCTTTATACAAAGTCACAAAGTTTAAAAACCCAAACATATACCAAGATGCCTCCCATGCCAGATGCCACAGGCAGTGACAGGAAAACAGATGGGGAAACAGCAATCATAAAATCAGAAGAGTGTGAGCAGAGATGGTAGGGATTGAGGACAATTTTCTATAAATACTGTTTCTTACAGTTTCTTATGCATTTATGGAGCCTAGACTCACTCATTGTGCCCTGCGGTGTTTAGCAAAAGGACTGCCAGAGTCCTTGGAAATAACTTGGAGTAACTTGAAAGTTCAGGAGTCTGCCCTGATTGTTGGATAAATTGTCCTGACATTCCCCCACTTCCCCACCCCACCATGCCTATCCCAAAATTTTACTGATTTTTGAAAGGAAGCTGATTTTTGCTTGCTTTTAAGAAGCACTGTCTCTCTGCAGGCTGCAAAAGTCAGTGTTTCTAAACCCAACTCCTTCCTCTCTCTGTGTTGCCTTCTCATATTTTAAACATGAAAAGTGAGAAAAGTCAGTGGTGCACACACACAAAGTTCAGCTCTTGAAAAGTCCCGACCTGGAGCAGCCTTCCTTAGAATCTCAGCTATGCGCCTTCTACACCCAAACAACAGCCCCTTGGAAAACAAGCTCTGTCTGCACGTGCTCTCGGGAAGCATGTCCCACCAGCACCAGCTGTCAGTTGCCATCTGGGTGATGGGGACCCGTGCTGGTAGCTTTCTGAGCAGGAAGCATGTCTCTGTTGCCTCTCCAAGTGCACAGAACTAGCAGCATAGGGCTTACACTGGGTGGTTTGAGTCTGTGCTAAAGACTAGGCATGATTTCTTTGCATTGTGGTATATGTTATTAAGCTGTATTTAATTTGCACCTTACGTGGTATCAAACTGTGGTTAAGTTACGTGAGTTCACGTATCTATGATCTAGTAAACTAACCATAAGTATATTACTATTGCTGTCTACATAGAGTAGATGATTCTGTCATTCCCTCAGTGGGAGTAGGCTTCAGATGAAGGATGAGCTGGGAAGGACCTGTTCCCTTCTGCAGTTCCTTTTTTTTTTTTTTTTAAGATTTATGTATTTATGCATACAAGAACTAGGGTACAGGCCAGAGATGTGGGGGGTGAGAGGATTCACCAGAGACAGAGTGGGGAACAGAACAGGCAGATTGACTGAAATGCACTGCTGAGGGGAGCAGCGGGTGAGACAGGAGAGGTCTGCTGCACTATGTGGGTAGCTCCCTGGCTGGGGATCGAACTCGTGCTTCAGTGACTGTGGATAGCTTCATAGATTGCGTCTTAACCCCTTGTGCCACCAGGGAGGCCTCCTTCTGCAGTTCTTTCTCCTCCTTATGGTGTGAACACTACCTGTTCCAAATGGGAGTCTGGGATTGAAGGGTATGCTTTTGAATGGTATGCTTTGCCCATCCCCTGCAGCCTCTAAATGGAATCTGATTGCTAATTTTGGCACTTGAACAAAGGCACGCCAGTGTGCCAGTGCTAGGGGAAAATGAATTTTGGGAGACTCAGATGCTGTCTTCCTAAAGCATTTCAGCAGCCTCTGGAATAGACAAAATATCTTAAACCACGTCATGTTTGACCCACTGTCATTTGTCATCTTCATAATAATGAACATTTTTTGAGCCTTACTATGGCCTGAATCTGTGGGAAGCACCTTGTATACGTGAGCTCATTTAGTGAAAATGTATCCTATCTGCTTCTGCTGGGCTTCCAGACCTTGAAAAATGCAACTTTGCTTCCAATTGATAGGGGAAAAGAAAATTGCATTTTATAAAGGTTATTGGGATAGAGTGGAGAAAACCGGTCCCAGGACAAGAAATAACTTTTTTTCTAATTTGATGAAAGTGTGAAAAAGGGGCCTTTCACTTCCTCCTCTCATCCAGAATTTAGTTCCCTTCCTTACCCTTGTACAACCAACAACAAACTCAGTCAGAAACTGGAAGTGAGGAGTATGGAAGTATAGTCGTTATTCCTTCCCTTTTCACTGGGATTTATTAGGCGCCAAAGAACACCATGGTGGAACTGAATTTTAATTAGGGCTTCATGGATTGGAAATAGAAGTGTTTACCAGATTATTCTAAAGACAGTAACTTTGGAGCAGGCTGACATATGGCTTTCCTGTTGCTTAGGAATCCACACCCCACTCCCCCCGGAAGGCACTTCTGGGGTCAGCAGATGCTGTGTGCACGTGCTGAGTGGGCAGCACTCACTCAGGGGGCCTGAAATAGGTGTGGTTCAATCCTAAATTGAGCAGACAGCATCTTCCAGCTTTGGACAAATTACTGAATATGCCAGGCAGCCTCCAATGTTCCCACCTCTTGGGTTCATGCCCTGGTATAACCCCATCCCTTTAAATAGGATCTGGATCTTATGACTTTATTTTTCCATTTCTTTTTAGTTTTCACAAAATACATCTAACATTTGCCACCTTAAATGCTTTTCAGTGGACGTCAGCAGCACTACATGTCCTCCCGTTGTATAACCAATCTCCAGCACTTTTTCATCTTGTAAAACTAAAACTCTATGCAATGAACCATTCCTCTTTTCCTCCTCCCACACCCCTGGGCAACCACCACTTTCTGTCTCTATGGATTTGAATACTCTAGGCTTCTCATATAAATGGAATCATCCAGTATTTGTCTTTTTGTGACTGGCTTAATTGGGCACATTTCTTCAAAATTCATTCATGTTACAGCATAGGTCAGCATTCCTTCCTTTTAATTAAGGCTGAATAATATTCCATTGTATTATATGCCACACTTTTTTATCCATTTACCTATTGATGGACACGAGTTCCTTCTACCTTTGGCTATTGTGAAGAATGCTGCTGTGAGTATAGGTGTACAAGGTGTGACTTGCTTTTAACAAAGAAAATAGCAGGGTGTCCATTTCAAGGTTAGTTACAAAAGACTCTGGTGTCTTGTTCTCTTACTCTCTCTTGTTCATGCTAATGGAAGTTGACTGCTGTGCCAGGAGCTGCCCTGTGGATACTGGGGGAAAGCCAGTGAGGAACTGAGGCCTGCTAGTAGCCCCATGAGTGAACTTGGAAGCCATTCCTCCCCTGGTCCAACCTTGGGCTACCTGTGGCCTAAGTGGACATCTTTATTGTAGCCTTAGCCCTGGGCCAGAGCTGAGCCACTCCCGAGTTTCTGACCCACAGAAACTGTAAGGTAATCACTATTTGTTTTAAAACCTGTAAGTTTTGAGATAATATAGAACCAATATACTGACTACCACTCAAGAAGGCCCCAATCACAGAGTGCTTATGAACCCCAGGTTCTGGTGGGAGGCAGGAGCCCTGGGAAGGAGGCCAGACAGTGTGTGTATGTGACAAGGACAACACTTTGAGTACTGTTGAATGTCAAGCATCATTCTAAGAATTTTTCTGGTATTTTCTTACTTATTTCTCACAAAATCCCTGTAAGAAGAGGTCCTCTCACCAAAAAAAAAGGTCCCATTTCCTAGGTAAAGAACTTGTGCACAGAGGCCATTCCTTGCCCTTGTCCACATCGCCAGGAAGGGAACCAACCCAGGTTATCTGATGAAAAGCTCATGTTCTTTGTCATTTTACATCACACTGTAGTACTGAGATCTGGTTCTCGCTGGATTTGGATCAGGAACTGCAAACGACTCCTTGGGCCTGTGAACTCATGGGGGAGGTGATGTCTGAAGACTGGCATGTTTTCCCTCTTTTTCTACTCAGGTATTCCTTTTGATAGAAGACTAATGGTCCCTGTCTTCCTTCCTGGCTCATGAGGAATGCTGGGAAGTTAAGTTTCTGAAGATGCCACCAATGTCAGAATAGTTAATTGAGTATTTAGCTTTGGGACTGCAGTTTCTTTATCTTGTTTGCTGTATCCTGGTGATAATGCTTGAGGAGAATTTGGAAAACAGTTCTTGAAGTTTGGCACCTGACCAGAAGCTAACAGCAACAGCTTTGTCCTCTTTCTTTGGTAGAAGTTCAGTGTGTGTGTGTGTGTGTGTGTGTGTGTGAGAGAGAGAGAGAGAGAGAGAGAGAGAGAGAGAGAGAGAGAGAGAATGAATATGTAGTTCCTTCTCATGGGCAATTTTGTCATTCAGTAGATATCGAGGCACCTCTTTGCTATGAGCAGGTGATACAGAAATGGTTTTGGCCCCCTCCTGAATTGTGTGTTACCCCCACAATTCATGTATTAAAGTCCTAGGCCCCAGTGTCTCAGAATGTAACATTCAGAAATAGGGTCATCACTGATGTAATTAGTTAAGATGAGGTCATACTAGAGAGGGCAGGCTCTAATCCTGTATGACTGGTGTCCTTATGAAATGGTCATATTTGGACACACACACGCACACGAAGAATATGAGGACAGGAACTGGGGTAATGCCTCAACAAGGAATGCAAGGGTTTGCCAGCAAACCCCTCCCCTAGGAGTTATGTGACAGGCGTGGAACACTTCCTTCCTCACAGCCCTTAGAAGGAACGATCCAGCGTGCACACAGCCTCCAGTACTGTGAGACCATCCATTCTCCCCTGAAAGCCCACTACCCTGTGATACTTCATCATGGCAGCCTTACCTAGCAAAGGAATAGAACTCCCACGAAATCACACTCAAGCAGGGCACAATGGTACACTAAGACCAGAAAAGAAATCTAGACAAGGAAATGTGAAACATCCAGAAAGTAGCCAAAATGCAGAAGCAAGGTGAGACAGGATGAGCGAGATGAAGGAGCTTGGTGCATTTCGGGAAATGGGACAGTGGAGAAAAACCTCTTGGTGTGGGGAGGCACTGTCTGCTTCATGTCGAGAAGTCGTGTTCTCCCACCCACATGCCTGTAGGTGAGTGGTGGGAGCCTGTAGGAAGCTGAAGACATTGAGGAAGTGATGCAGAAGTCACACCAGGAGGACAGGGAGGAGTTGACTGGACACGGAAGGAGATAAGCAGGGGTGAGGAACTTCCCAGGCAGAAGGAATGGCCGATTAGAAGATCCCAAGTTGAGAAACAGTGCAGTGTATTTGAAGAACTGAAAGCTCCACATGGGCGCCCTGGTGGATAGGAAGAGAAAAGCCTGGAAGGAGACTGGTATAGTTGGCACTGGCTTATCTATGGGCTGGTGGCCACAGTAAGGGTCTGGACTTCGCCTGTGGGTAGTGAGAAGTCACAGATGATCGATGTGAAGGTGCTAACCGTGGGGACAGACAGGCCAGTGGCTTCAGGATACATTTCAGGATAAAATCACCAAGATTTGATGATAAACTGGGTAAGGGTGACAAGTAATAGAAATATCCCATTGCAAATCACCACGGGGAAGCTAATTTTGTGGAACTGCAGAATCTGCTCTGTTATTTTCCAGTGATGCATGCTCTCACCCTTCTGCTCCAGGCCTCCCATTGGTGTGGATAATTGAGAGTAAAAGTTGCTCCTGCTTTTGGAAGAGACCTTTGCTTTCTGTTGCAAGATAAAACCAAGTGACTGGGCAGCCAAAGATCATTTTGGAGACATCATGGAGAGCATGAGACAGAAGTGCTAGTTTTTAGTTTAGTTTTTCAAGTATGAATGGAAAAGAACTTTATATATATATATATATATATATATATATATATATATATTTTTTTTTTTTTTTTAAGGGTGGTCTGGGTTTAGGGGTGCCAACCTAAAAGGCTACCACCAAAAATTTGATGGTGGTTGGTATTTACCACAAAACTTGCGGTGGCCAAATGATGTCAAGAGCTTCGTTAGAGGGGCCCCTCAATAGAAACATCACCCTGAAAGTATTCACCTAGCTCAGAATGAAACCACTGGAGGTACAATTAATAGAAGGGATGTGGAATCCCTTTTTTCCCACTTTCAATTTGAGAGTTTGAAAGCCCAGCTGGGGTTGGAAAGGCAGAAATGCTGACTTCATTGGAACAAAAAGGAGGTGGTGGGGAGAGGTTGATTGCTGCCTTTCTGTACCTGTGGGGTTTCCTTTGCAGTAATTGAGCGTTTGCATCACGAAAACATCCTCTTCTCTAACTATTGTAGCAGACTTTGAAGATTTCTCAAATGTCCCTCACTTAGAGGGGAATCAGAATGATCCCCCACTCATGACAGTCATTGCTTCCTGATCTCACAGCCGCTGCGGTAATCATCAAAGCTGGTTGTCTAGTGTCTCCTAGTCCTGTCTTGTGCACATCCCCCTTCTTTTCCCTCTGCTTGCTTCGACCTCCCTCTGCCCTTCCCACTCCCTGGCATGGGGTAGAGTCCAGTGTGGGTACCTGGAGTAATGTGCCTCTTCCTGAAGTGGATGGACCGAGGTTAAGGGCTACAGGACTGAGTATGGTGCTCACTCACTGACACTTTGTAATTCTCCTCTGCAAGTTTTCTGAGCCCTGGACTCTGCTGTTACTGAGATGTGCAGGGGACATTTGTTCATGCATAGCTTGTGGTCCTCAGCTCCCCAAGCCCCCCCGCCCCCCTCATCAATACCCTCTTACTTCCTAATAGTCATCTAAACACAAATCCCTTGCAAAGTGCTTGTTGTTGTCCCCACCCAGGTACAACAAGAAAGACGGAACCAGAGCAGATCAAAGTTACTCCCAGTCTGCAAGGGAGAAACGTAATGCCCTCCAAATAATTACCCTAAAGTGTGATAAATGCTGTAATAGAGGAATGAGCAGCATGCCGTGGAGACCCAAGGACATGACGGACAGCGAGGAATGACTGTTTTTCCTACGGGAATGTGGCAAGGCTTCAGAAAATAAAATCTCTGTCTAGTCTTTAAGGATAAATAAAAATGGACCCAGAAACAAGCATGAGGCTGGGCATCCAGCCAGAGGGAAGAGCATATTCAAAGATAGAGATTCCATAGAGCGCGAACAAAATGTGCATGTGGAAGTGTCCAGGGCAGGGGGATGTCCAGGGGCATGATGCTGCTGGGGTGGGTTGGGACCGGTGTGGGCAGCCCCCCTCCTGCATGCTTCTGCTGGAAGATGGAGCCAGAGGAGGGGAATCAGAAGAAATCAAATGCTGCACCTTGGTAAAATAATTCAAGGGCAGAATCTTATTGCATACAGTGCGAGTTGTGATTCTCCATGGGTCTTACTGGGCTCTGCTCTCCCACTGGCAGGGAAATTTAATTGAGACTGTGGCTGGTGTAAACGAGGCTGCAGAATAATAGAGTCTGAATTCTCCTGGATGAAAATAGGTGGAGAGGATAGGTTACCATGGGCCGGATATTTCCAAGCCCCACCCTTGACTGGTGGCTTGAAAAATCTTAGGTTATGCAATCCAGTAATTATCTTTTTTAATTCAGTTCTAATCTGGCTACCTGGGAACTTTATGGCTTGTGGAAAGTGAAAATGTGCTCGAATTTTGCAAATAGGACAGTTCTGGAATGCCACAAAAATGATACTTACCTACATTTTCCTTCCACGCCTTCTTTTCCTTCCAACTGTGTGCCCTCTGTAATGTGTACACTGCTCAAATTTGCAGCTTTAATTGAAGTCCTTTTTTTTTTGTAGAGCCTATGGCTAGTTGCTTAAGAATGCCAGCGAATTCCTAGGAGCCCCTCTATTCTCTAGTAGCGTATTTCTCAGCTGAAGAGAAAGACCAGAAATTTACAACCACCCCATTGACCAATATTACTGAACAAGAAAGGTCACATTAAGCCTTGTGTTTGAAAGTCTATATTAATGCACCCTATATTCTGGGTGCTAGAGGCATCTCATCTGTTCTGTTAACTGTTTGTCCTCAGGTCCTTCCAGGCCATATACTCATGCAGGACCTTTGGAAAAGGCCACACTCCACTCTCCAAAACAGCTCCCAACCCACCTCAGCCACTACTGACCCAGCCAGGGGTGGACTTGACCCAAGGCCAGTCAGTTCACTATGTCATTGAAAGGAAAGCAGTTATATAGGGACATTCCATGTGGATGGGATTAAGCCATGTGGAAGCTGTTGGAAAGGGTGGGGTTCATGTTAGAATAATGGTCTGTCTACAAGAGACGTCTGAGAGGCCAGAGGTGGCAGCTACCTCCTGGCCCCTCTCCCCCAAAAAGAGAGACATGCACTTTGTAATGTTTACTTTTGTCCTGGGTGACTTCTCAAGTCAGTTCTAGTTCCTGTGAGGCCCAAAGCCTCAACTTTTCACTGAGACTGTATCCTAGAGTAAATCCTTTGTTTTGAATTGACTTGAGTAGGCTGTAAGCAATAATATATTAAAAGAGACTAAACAGGGGCCTCCCTGGTGGCACAGGCGGTTGAGCACTGCACTGTGAAGCTGTCGGCAGCCTCTGCAGTGTGAATTCCATTCCCAGCTGGCCAGGGGGATACCCACATGGCATGGCAGACTCTTGTCTCACCCGCTGCTCCCCTCAGCAGTGTATTTCATCAGTCTGCCTGTTCTGTTCCCCACTATGTCTCTGGTGGGTCCTCCCTCTCACCCTCCTGCACATCTGGCCTGTACCCTAGCTCTTGCATAAATAAAAATAAATAAATAAACAATCCACATTAAAAGAAAAGAGAGACTAAACAGTGTCATTCACCGCCATGGAAAACAAATAGAGGATGAGAAGGGAAGAAAGGAGCAGAAAAGGAGATAAGTTTGATAAGGGAGGCTATATACAAGTCCTTTGGGATCTCTGCGCATCTCTGTTCCCAGGTTTCTTTCTAACATTGAGTTCTGTGTTTAGGAGACTCGAGGTCTCCCAGAGACTCTATATTAGTTAGGAAATCGGCTAAGCTGCTGCTGTAACAAAGAGACCTCAGCATGCAGTGGCTGAAGTAAGATGGAGATTATAGATGCAATAAGATGAAGACGCTCATGTTGAACACCCCAGAGATAAACAACCAGGGAAACAAGGAGCTCAGCCCTCTTCAGACTCCTCCCAAAAGCTGCTCTGATGATGATGACTGCTTCCCAATCAGGAAGAAGGATGAGACAAGGGACAGGCCAGGCAGGCAGGTTCCTCCTTGAGAGATGTCTTGAAAGTTGCACACATCACTTTTATTCATAATCCAGCAGCCTGGACTTTGTCACCTGACTCCACCTAGCTCCAAGGCAGTCTGAGAAATGTTTTATCATTTGCGTACCTGCATGGCCAGCTAAAAAACTCAGGAGTCCACTGAAAAGACAGAAAAGGAGAATCGATGGATACTGGAGAAAATTAACCACTGTCTCTTTTAAACAGAGCTAGTACTTCATATATGGGTTTATGCCAATAGCATGTCTTGTAGTTTTTGGCACAGCCTTTTACCTGAGTAACATTTAATTCACACAGCCCCAGGAGAGCGCTCAGTGTGTGCTTTGCGTCTCGGACTCTCGCAAATGAAGTGCATCTGAGCTGGAATGCTCTGCAGTGCCAACAGGGAGAAACCAAGGTGCACATCAGGCAGGGGACCCCTCACCGCTCCCGAGTGTCTGGTTGAATAGATTCTTCACATACTTGTTTCTGCCTTTGTGGACTCATTTATTGTAAACCTGGGGTGACCCTCCGAGACCCAGTTTTTATCTTTGGAGTGTGATCAAAGTGATAATTATTCCAATGACAGGAACCTGACTTTGATTTTGCTTTTTTTCACAGAAGGCACTGGGCCTCAGATTTGGGTCAATTTGCATCTGAAGGAAATCTCCAAGGACAGATGCTTTGTCCTCATTAGCTGACTTGTTAAGCAGTCTTTCCCACATGACTCAGAACCTTTTATAGATTTTCCTTCAGACCCTTTGGATTTATTAGTGTTTGCCTGCTTCCCTGGGCCATGCATTTGGGGGGACCATGCAGGGCACCTCTGTCTCCACCTCTTGCCCTGTACACCCCCCAATGCTGCCCACCCATTACCTCGCTCTTTCCCCCAACCTCACCGTGGCAGCTTTAAAGTATATTCACAAATTCTTTGGTTCTTCTCCCGTCAAGAGGTGGAGCCTGCTCTGCCCCTGGAAGCCCATCAAGCTTTCATAACTGTTTGGATCACTCGCGGGTGAAGAAAGTGTTGCTGTACGTCTTCTATGGCCAGTGTGTAAGGGGCTAAGCACCTGTCTGTGCTCTCTGGAAAACTCCTGCTGGAAATCTAACTTCAGCTACCAAGTAGACAGTTCAACTGCCCTGAGGCCACCATGTTGTAAGGGACCCCAAACTAAGACACCCTGGAGAGGTTGGTGAAGAGAGCTGCCTGGGTGACAGCCGTTGTCCACAGCAGGTGAGCCCTCAGGCAGGAACTCCCACTCCGTTTCCTGAATGTCTGAACCATGGAAACTGTAAGAGATAATAATAAAATGTCATTGTTTTAAGCTATTAAATTTGGGGATGAGTTGGTATGTAGCAGTAGCTCATTGAAACCACAGCCAACCAGAAGGCATCTTCCTCTGGGCCTGGTCTGCTCCCAGAGATAGGAAAGCTGATGGACTCAACCCCTTCACTGAGCCCCCTCATTTCCCAAGAGGACTTTCATGTGGCGCTTGAGTTTCTGTGCTCTCAAAGAATGTGTGCATGTTAGTCAGAAAGGCTTCCAATCCTAGACTCTACCATCATGGCTCAGTCATGCAAAACTATTCCTGGTCACCCCACAG